CAGCCTTCTGTGGGAGAGGATAAACCAGCTTCCAGTTGAAGAGGAAATTAGGGAAAGACGCTGGAAGTGGATAGGTTATACATTACAGAAATGACAAAATCGCATCACGATGCGAGCGTTAACTTGGAGTCCTGAAGGGAAGCGGAAAATGGGAAAACCGAAGAACACACTACGTCGGGAAATAGAAGTAGATATGAAAAGGATGAGTAGCAACTGGAAAGGGTTGCTCAGGACAGGGTTGGACGGAGTGTTAGTGGGCGGCCTATGCTCATTCACGAGGGGTAACGGGTGTAAGTCATTTTTTTCTTCCTGTACGGTATCCTTATGTGCAATCCTTTTTTACATATTGCTACCATTGAAGTTAGCGTTTTTTTAGAGAGTTAGTTTTCTACGGGATGGGGACGCTAACCCCATGCCCAACCCTCCTCCTTTATCCGGGCTTGGGACCGACAGTAGCCCCAAGAGGGACTCCAGGCGGAGTCTACAATGAAGACGCTAAAGATCAATTCTACAATAGGCTGCAGTCAATCGTCGAGAAGTGCCCAACAAAGGACCTGACCATTCTGATGGGAGATTTCAACGCCAAGGTTGGAACGGACAACACTGGATATGAAGACATCATGGGACGACACGGACTGGGAGAAAGGAACGAAAATGGTGAGAGATTTGCGAACCTATGTGCCTTCAATAAACTGGTCATAGGCGGAACTATATTCCCACATAAACGCATTCAAAAAATCACATGGACTTCACCGGATCACACCACGCAAAACCAAATCGACCATATCTGCATCAACAAAACGTTCAGGAGGACTATAGAGGACGTGAGAACCAAGAGAGGAGCTGATATAGCATCAGATCATCACTTGCTGGTCGCCAAAATGAAATTGTAACTCAAGAAGCACTGGACAATGGGGCGGACAATATCACAAAAGTTCAATACGGCCTTTCTTCACGATACTAACAAACTCAACAAATTCAAGATAGTCCTCAGCAACAAGTTCCAGGCCTTTCATGATCTACTCAATGGAGAAGGAACTACTATGGAGAGCAACTGGAAGGGGATCAAGGAGGCAATCACTTCAACATGTCATGAGGTCCTGGGTCACAAGAAGCACCACCACAAGGAATGGATCACTGTTGATGCACCAGATAAGATTCAAGAAAGAATTAACAAGAAAGCAGCAATCAATACCAGCCGAACAAGAGCAGAAAAATCCAAGGCACAAGCTGAATACACAGAAGTAAACAAACAAGTGAAGAGGAGCATCAGAACTGACAAACGTAAATATGTGGAAGATTTAGCAACGACGGCGGAAAAGGCTGCAAGAGAAGGAAACATGAGACAACTGTATGACACGACAAAGAAACTCTCTGGAAATCACCGTAAACCAGAACGACCAGTGAAAAGCAAGGAAGGCAAGGTAATCACCAACGTTGAAGAGCAACAAAACAGGTGGGTAGAACACCTCAAAGAACTCTTGAATCGACCAGCTCCACTGAACCCACTCAACATCGAAGCAGCTCCACGGACCTCCCAATCAATGTTGGCCCACCAACGATTGAAGAGATAAGCATGACCATCAGAAAAATCAAGAGTGGCAAAGCAGCAGGACCGGACAACATTCCAGCAGAGGCACTGAAAGCAGACGTAGCGGCAACTGCAAAGATAGTCCACATTCTCTTCAGCAAGATTTGGGATGAGGAACAAATACCAACAGACTGGAAAGAAAGACTTCTGATCAAAATACCAAAGAAAGGCGATCTCAGCAACTGTGATAACTACAGGGGCATCACTCTTCTCTCAATACCGGGAAAAGTCTTCAACGGGGTATTGTTAAACAGGATGAAAGACTGCGTAGACGCCCAACTTCGTGACCAACAGGCAAGATTCCGTAAGGATAGATCGTGTACAGACCAAATCGCAACTCTACGGATCATTGTGGAACAATCAACTGAATGGAATTCATCACTCTACATCAACTTCATTGACTACGAAAAGGCATTTGATAGCGTGGACAGAACAACACTATGGAAACTTCTTCGACACTACGGCGTGCCTCAGAAGATATTCAATATAATACAGAATTCCTATGATGGATCAAACTGCAAAATTGTGCATGGAGGACAGTTGACAAAGTCGTTCGAAGTGAAGACCGGTGTTAGGCAAGGTTGCCTACTCTCACCCTTTCTCTTTCTCCTGGTGATCGACTGGATCATGAAGACGTCAGCATCTGAAGGGAAACGCGGGATACAATGGACATCTAAGATGCAGTTGGATGATCTAGACTTCGCAGACGATCTGGCCCTTCTATCCCAAACGCAACAACAGATGCAGGAGAAGACGAACAGTGTGGCAACAGCCTCAGCAGCAATAGGTCTCAATATACACAAAGGGAAAAGCAGGATTCTCCGATACAACACAGAGTGCACCAATCCAATCACAATTGACGGAGAAGATTTGGAAGATGTAAAAACCTTTACGTATTTGGGCAGTATCATTGACGAACAAGGTGGATCCGATGCAGATGTGAAGGCGCGGATCGGCAAAGCAAGAGCAGCATATTTACAACTGAAGAATATCTGGAACTCAAAGCAACTGTCAACCAACACCAAGGTCAGGATTTTCAATACAAATGTCAAGACAGTTCTACTCTATGGGGCAGAAACCTGGAGAACTACGAAAGCTATCATCCAGAAAATACAGGTGTTTATTAACAATTGTCTACGAAAAATATTTCAGATCCATTGGCCGGACACTATTAGCAACAACGTACTGTGGGAGAGAACAAACGAGATCCCAGCGGAGGAAGAAATCAGGAAGAAGCGCTGGAAGTGGATAGGACACACATTGAGGAAAGCACCGAACTGCGTCACAAGACAAGCCCTCACATGGAATCCTCAAGGCCAAAGGAAAAGAGGAAGACCAAAGAACACATTACGCCGAGAAATGGAGATAGACATGAGAAAAATGAACAAGAATTGGGTGGAACTAGAAAAGAAGGCCCAGGACAGAGTGAGTTGGAGAATGCTGGTCGGCGGCCTATGCTCCATTGGGAGTAACAGGCGTAAGTAAGTAAGTAAGTAAGTACCATTGAAGTGACTATTTCCACGAATTTGATGTTCATCTTGTTGTGCTAATAATGTGTGGCAACTTGGATCGATGTATATACGTGCCTGGTCCTACGTTGTAGCTGACTAACCGACTATGTACCTTCCCAGTTGACCAGATTTTTTAACTGGTCGACCCTTCTTAAAACAAGTGTTTACATGCAGAATATAGGTGCATGAACCTAGTTGCAGCTTATAATAAATCAGTAATGATAAACCAGTCTTGAATAAGAGCTGTCCCGTTATAGCTAGGGGTTTTATGATAGCGTAAGTACCACACAGGACTATCAGCGGGACAAACGACAGTATGTCTATCAATCTTAAGACAATATTGGTAAAGTTTAAAGAGCTTGAGTCTCTGCTCAGGACGATATTAAGACGCGCTAGAAAGTTTAGCGAACTACTATATGTACGATCTTAAAGTAAATATTAGATGACAAAACACATAAGAAAACTGGGCGAGAATCTAATTTAGCGACGAGCCAATCAGAAGCGTTTGAGCAATTTCAAGGTCATGGAGCCAAGTTCAACACGCGATGCTAACATACGGTCGGTTCACAGCGGATTTGAGAGAGGTGATTAATGAGAGGTTAAAACAGATGGGACGGCGAAACTCTAATTTAGGGGCGAGTAAATGAGAAGCGTTTGAGCAATTTCAATTATCAGCCAATCAGAAGACAGTATAAAGCAAAAATATATTACAAGAAAGTAATGGATTACAGTGGATATTCTTCTTTTACATGATTTAAAAACTTATTGATGTTTGATAAAGGCTAAGAAGTTCTGAATTCAAGATGCATATTGTATAGAAACTCGTCCATAGGGTTAGGGTTTGGGGTTAAGATTAGGGTTAGATTAGGGTTAAGGGTTAGGTTAGGGTTTAGGGTTAGACTAGGGTTTAGGGTTAGATTAGGGTTTAGGGTTGGGTTAAGGTTAGGGTTAGGTTAAGGTTAGGGTTTAGGGCTAAGGTTAGAGTTAGCTTAAGGTTAGGGTTAGATTAGGGTTTAGGGTTAGGTTAGGGTTTAGGGTTAGGTTGAGGTTAGGGTTAAGGGTTAGATTAGGGTTAGGTTAAGGTTAGGGTTAGATTAGGGTTAGGTTAAGTTTGGGGTGCTAACATGCGATCGGTTTACATCGGATTTTTGGAGAAGAGTTGTTTATTGACAGGCTGCAACCCTAACCACTAACCCTATGGACGAGTTTCTATACAATATGCATTATGAATTCAGAGCCTCTGAACCTTCATCAAAACCTAACAAGTTTTTAAATCACGTAAAAGAAGAATATCCACTGTAATTCATTACTTACAATATATTCTCACTTTATACTAACTGTCTTCTGATTGGCTAATAATTGTCAAGGTCATTTAAGATTCGTTCAAAGGTCGTCGCTAAATTAGTCTCGCTGAAAACTGATTATATACGGTGTAAGACTGACAGTGGCAATAATCAGTACACTCCAAGTATTACTCAATTGATAACTAAACATAAAGTGGCCAATTAACTTATATTGTACCAAAATAGGCTCTGTGTACCTAACACCAGGTAGCGACCTCAAAGAAATTACCAGGATTATACCAGCGAGTCAAAGTCATTGGGTATCCAAGGCTAATAAGTTTGAAAACTCTGAAAGTTCGTTGGCGCACTAATGTATGGAACATTTCCTGGTTATTATGAGAAGAATAACGAAATTGTAGGGACTTCAAAAATGTACACGATATAGTGACTCGGTTTTATAAATTTGGCCCTTAAGCCCTACGTTTATCGTGCTGTCTAACGACAGATTCAATACTCTGAGGGTTGACCAATGAATACACGCAGTTTTTTCACTATACGGGATTGGTCAATATATAGTGAGTGAAATTTCCAAATCCATACAAGAATTAAACGTACGCTTTTTTCACGGGACTTTGAGGCCATGTACTTCTTTATTTGCTCAGCCCTGTCAAGGTACCGCGCACAACTGAGCTGAATAGATTCTTTAGCTCGATCACTTGGAGCCTCATCTGAAAAACAAACTCAGCAGTAACGAATAACTTACACTTAATGGCATGGATGAAATATTCAATTGCATGTTCGTAATATCTGAGTGCCTGCTCATAATTCTTTGCTTTGTCCTCATTCGTTGCGAGAGTGACTAACTGTATGCCTTTCTAGAATTCATAATGCTGCAACAAGTCCAAGCAACCTTACTTCAAGCGACATCCAGGACTTTGGGAAACTGTCCGAATCACCCTCCCTCTATGGGTTGTGTACAATATCCAATAATAAAATTTTTAGATGAGCAAAATTATTTAATTACAGCATACTTATATGCATCAAAAGGTTATAAAATCCAGTCCAAATATGTGTTTCTGGGCAAAAGATCACCCGAAAATCGGTTTGAATACCAAGCATACACTTTGATACAGGATATTTTTATCTGGTAAACCTGGATAAGTTACTAGGTTAAAAATGTTTTAATATAAGTCATCACCCTCTCTTGTTGTGTAAGAACATTATATGTCATTTTTGATCTTGATTTTCGCCTGTTGTGATATTGATTTCATATTTTCAAATTTTTTTCTCGCCCATTGGCCTATTCCATCTTCGTTATGATGGAACAGACACTTTGGTTACTTGAGATTAAACCTCCATCGCCTCCCATATTTCAGTTAATTCCGTTCTGTTCCGACAATATCGAAGCCTGGTTCTGGTACTCAGAGGCTGACTACCACGACCACTACGTGACGGCCCCAAGTGCACAATTCCTCGCAGCAGTGAGAGAACTACCACGCGATTTTAACATGTACGTCGCACCCAGTATGTTTACCAGTGGCGTTTCGTAACCTAATTAAGCCTTAGTTAATTCGTGCGATATTCTGAACTTCAGTTAGCTGTTCATATAGATTTTTACAAAATAGGAGAAATCTCCATTTCAAGAGCTTCCTTATATGAAACAAGTCAATCAAAGATTTCTTCAGTTCAAGGCTTACTCGATTATGGAATGCACTCCATCTAGACCATCCATTTTCATTGACGAATTGTGGTGTTTGAATTAACCAATGATTCTTTCGTACTTGTTGTTGCTCGATTCCGAATTATAAATACAATACATTCGTTTGTGCTCACCTAGTACTTCTTGATTCAAATGCGTTATTTCGGGGATTCTTAGTTCGTACTACGATTCAAATAATTTGAAATACCGAATTGGCATTGCAATGAAGCCTGCGATGGAAAAGTTAGATATTCGTTCAACTTCTGAAGCTTTTGGGGATTACTTTGAAAGGTTCGAAATCTGGGCTATGACCAAGGAAGATGAGGGTGTTAATATTGTGACACATTTCCTCACATTTATTGGAAAAGAAGCATACAGCTTATTAAGAACTCTGGCTATGCCAGGAAAGCCTATCTCGCTCCTTTATACGACTCTCAAGAAACTGCTGCTAGACTACGTTAATTATACAAATTTCGAATGCGGTAAAGGAGGGAGATCTCGTAAAATGATTCATGAGGATATAAAAAATTCCACTACGTTACGTCATCCCAACCCAGTGCATACTCAAGATTATGCAGATAATTCATTGAGGAGTTGCAATGCATTTCACGAAGATGGGCACAAGTTTGGTCAGTGTTTGTCCTGTGGCGAGTTCCACTCTTTTAATTCATGTAAATTTTGTAATTCTAAGTGCTTTAAATGTGGTGATATTGGACACGTTCAGTCAGTCTGTAATACTAATGTTCATCTTATTGCAACTAATATTAAGTCTGGTAATTCTGATTCTATTGAGTCAAGTACTCATAATGATTATTTATCCTTACCAACGTGAGATAGTTCTCCCCAGCGATATGAGGAAATGGTTGCAGTTACAGACACTTATAACTGGAAACAACATGTCATGAAACCTGAGCGTGGTAACAAAATATTGGACTTTCCATTCTGCTTTAGTGTTTCATTCGTAGTAGCACACATTGAAAAAGCGATCACGGTTATCATAGGATAAATTACTGTTCCTTGACAACCCTCAAATTAAACAGTGATAACACAACGTATTAGAGAACTATGGTCTGTTTCGGCATTAGGACATTCATTTTTGCTACTGCAATAATAAGGTTTGTCATGATGTGCCTACCTAATTGGTAAGATCTTACATGAAAGTCATATCATTGTCTATGCAGACTCATCCTAATGTGACATAAGCAATATGATTTTTATCGCTCCCGAAGAACAAACTTGAGCTGGAGATAGAATGATATATTTAATATTAACAGGGATAAGTTACACAGAATGACCACGAATACAAGGCTGAGCCATGACACCTGATCAACTGTTCCCGCGTTAACCACTGATGACCTTCTCTCCGTGTTGAATGTTGATTATGAGTCTTCTCAATCATCTCATATCCAGCACCGAGGATCATGTGGTTAGTAAAAACACCACTATAGTTTTAAGTTTGCAGACTGTGAGTTGTTAGTGATACTTATAAATCGATCTGGTTGATATGGCTATTTTACTTACAACTCATTATTAAACTCAGTTGTAATCCTCAATAGAACCATTTTTTCATTCTTTAACTCTATAGCCCCTGAAAAACACACAAGACACAGAGAGATAAGTCCTCCTTCCTGCCGCGCTAATATCACGCAAAAATCAGAAAACTTACTTCACAATTCAACGTTTTTAAGGACTTATCATTCTTACTCTCAGTATATGGAACATAAGAATCTGTCAGGGTATTACACGATGGGAATGACGGCAAAGAAGAGTATGACAACCTTGCAAGTAGCTCCAAAGCAAAATGTCTGACATCTGTCCTAGAAAAGCACATTCTTAGACCAGAAGATATTCAGTTTCTTATCCAAGGTGATGCAATCTATAATAAACCCATAGACATATGTGAAATATAATGCAATTCTTTGACAAACTTTAATTAACAGCAGCCTTCCAACATCGACAATATGAAACTTACATACAATAAGTGTTTAACTGTGTCATTCTGTTCTGAAGGCATGTCTGAGGCTATAAAAAGTCCTAAGACTACAATAGGTGTAGGAACTGGCAGTATCTACATTCACTAAAAGATGTGATGATAACGCGCCACGTATAGCACTTAAAATATTTGCTATGATATTGGACGCAGATGTGTACCCGAGCAACTGGAAAACCAGCTACTTTATCAAACGATATGACTGAGGACAGCGAATCTTGCAATTCGAAAACCCATAACACACCACTCCAGTTTCTTCGTAAACCATCAAAAATGTCGTAAAAAGAAGAACCTCAGATTACGTGATAACTCAAATCTCTACCACTAAGTAACAATATGGATTCTCAGCAGGTGATTCATGCATGACCTTCTACAACATAATACAGTGCCGCGAATTACAAAAATAGTTATAATCCCTTATTTTGTTACGTCAAGGGCATTTGATCCAATATCCTACAGAATATGATAAACTGTACTCTGTTGGAATCCATGACATTTCGCTTAACTGACTTAAATCATTCCTGGATAATCGGTACCAATTTATCTAGCTTAACTCAAAGGCATCGGAAACTGGGAGGGTAACTAGTGCGGTTATACAGGAAAGTATACTAAGCTCTCTTTTTTCGTAACGCGCAATAACAGCATTTGTAACTGCTTTAACCTTGGGAAGACTTTCACGTGAGTTTATGACCAGGCACAAAGACAAGGTATATAGTGTTGCTAATCTTATGAATCTGGAATTAACACGAAGTAGCAGTATGGTGTGGAAAATACGAACTTCAATTTAATATAAGCAAATGAAGTTGGATCAGTATCAGATGCAGCAACCTGAGACTTCATTTCAAAGTGGATGCCATATCCGAATAAGATATTATCTTAGACATTGACGTCAGTTACTTGAGTGTCTCAAGTTTTCCAGAATAAATAACGTCAACCAGTTTAAAGGCAGGCAAACCCATAGGTTGAATAGTTCATAATTTTTAAAAGCGTGAATCTAGGCTAAAACTATATATATATATTATTTCTCCGCTTAGTGCTTGAATATTTTCCGTTTATACTCATTAGCCTTCGTATAAGAGAGAAATTGAAACTTGGAGAAATTCAGAGGTCTTTCACTAAAGAGACTTTAGGACTGGATTGTGATCAGATTTATTTTATACGATGGGACGCATCAGGGAAGAAACCCCTATGAAACAGGAAGTTTGGGCGTGATATTACATTTTACATCAAGCTCGCACATCATTTCGCCAGCTTGAAATCATGAAGAGAAATGAAAACGGAAGGGCCAAAGACACGCTGTGTAGAGAATTGGAAGTAGACATCAAAAAGATGAATAGCAACTGAAAACAACTGGAAAGGATAGTCTAGGAAAGAGTTGGGTGGAGAATGTTGGTAGGCGGCCAATGATACTCCAAGAGCGGTAACAGGAGTGAATAATTAAGTCGTACACCAGCTACGACGATCTTCAAATTTTCCCACTTGTAAACCAAGAAATGACATTAGGTTAATAAGAATACAGCGTTGTGAAATATGGCCCATGTTACATGCCTGTAACAGCTTAGATTGGTTGGTTAAGAGTTCACCTTAAACAATTAAGCGTATGTCGAAACAGTATAGTTCAAGTATTCATGCCCTCCCTTATTTTGTATGGGCATTATATTTTCTATCATCTTTAATGTTGAGAGGATTGTGGGTGAGGTTTCGATGGACATTCAAACATGAATTTTAACTTAAATTTATTTTTACTGAAACTTTGTCAGATTACTTCTGGAAGGTGGTGTAAGAAAATTGTAGATGGAACTTGCAGACACCAAGGTACACAATAGTCAAGCGCAAATCCAATCTTTGGTTTATTGGCGCGATTTCAGTAATTGTATTGCAGCTTTGCTATATTGAGATTTCGAAGTCATCGTTAACATCGCAGACAGATCAGTATCTGTCCGATATAGCTAACGTTGGAAGAATGAGGTTGTGGGACCTATGAGATCTAAGCTAATTAGAAGGTTGAAAAGCTTAAAGTTAAATTGCTATAGAATTTAAATGATATGAATGAGGTTGTGCTAATTTCCCCTCACAGACAGACGGATGCTTTTAGACATAACTGAAAGCGGAGTATCTGAAGCTGGGTTCAGCGCCTTTAAAAAGTCTTTACTGCCCCTTGTCTTTGTGATCCCACAAAAGAATGAAGCTTTTGATGATGAAAAAACGAACAGTTTATCTCCGCGACTGGAGACGTTT